ACAACCCATAATTTCTTTTTTCTCTTCTTTCAATTTGTTGATTTTGCAATTCTTCTGTGATGATGATCTACTTTAGGAAGTTTTTCTGTGTACTACCAGACTAGTGTATAGTATATATATATATATATATATATATATATATATATAAAATAGAATGAATTTTGAGGAGAGTTCTTCAATCCTTAGTTCATTTTGTTTTGAACTTGTATTTGACTAATTTGTTTATCTTTCTTTATTGAAGATATATATGATGTAATTTGTTTTCTTATTCAATTCAGAAATGAATAATCAATTTGATGATGTTGAGGCCAAAGCTGAAGATGTGGGAAGAGGAGAGATTATCACATGCAACCTCTGTTCTGATGGAAACATGAACTCAAAACAATTTGAAAATAACAAAGGGTTGATGAATCATCAAAAAATGGTACACAGGGGATCCAAGTCAAAATTCTTTGTGTGCGGCAAATGCTCAGATGTGGGAAAAAGCTCAAGGCTAATTAACGTAAGTCACTAGAATGATGTGTATCGATTTGCTACTTGCAATTTAAAGTTTGTTTGGCTTGGAATTAATGAATTAATGCTTTTGATTTAAATAAACAGTTAATGCTTTCGTCCAATGAATACACAATTAATAATGTTTGCTCCAAGTTTAGTTCGCTTTAGTAAAAGGACTTGCTCCAAGCTCAAGGCTAATACACATTTCTGTGGAGGGAAAAATTATTACATCTTGGAGATCTTGGTCCAAGTTTGTGACAACCCCACGCTTTTTACTGCATTTTTTTAAAAACCTTTGCTCCCACAAAAGTCATCCATCACATCTACAAGTCGATAATTCTAATTTGCGGACAATAATAAAATTATTTCCCAAAATTCACACAATTTTCAAGAAATTCATTCCACCATATAACTTGTTGAAATTGGACAATGATACTGAAGCACTTTTATTTGCAAATTAAATTAGCAAACAATAAATAAATAATTAATATTGCAAAACTCTAGCACTTTTATTTTGCAAATTAAATTAGCAAAACAATAAATAATACATTAATATTGCAAAATTTCTTAACGTATTCACATTTGCCTCAACACTTGCTTGTTGCATGTATATACAGGGGACATCGTGGTCCCACTAATCAAGCGTTGTTTCCACTCATGCCCAAATATTCAAACATTCCGTGGAAACCCACATGACCAACAAAGAATCACTTTGCTTACTAGCCTAGTAAAGGTTCTAGATGAGTTATGTTTTTCACCACCTACTCTCATATGCCTCTTGATGAAGAAGATGAGTGGGGTACGGCCCTAGGCATTTGTCTTTTTTGTTTTTCATCTAGTTCCCTTGTTTAAATTTTCTGGAAAGTGAAAAAGAACGAGAAATCTTTTTGCCTGATTTATGTGGGTTTTAGTAGTTTTGCTAAAATCACCTTATACTAATCCAATAATTGTGCTATGCACGTCTGTGGTGCATTCGGGCATTGATTGCTGAATTCTTCTGTTGGGTGATGCTTAGACGTTTAAGTTGGTTTGGTTATTTTTATTTTTGTTACGAAATGGAAAGCTGAAGCAGCTTTGTTAGTATTAGATGTGGGTTTGGCATTGCATTTTGAATTGGTTAGCTACATAATTGCCTAGAGGATCAGTAACTTCTTGTGATCAGTAATTGGTTAGCTACATTATTTTATGTCTTTTGAGTTTTGATTGTGAATTTGCTTCAATGTTATGAATGTGGGGTCGAAATTTGGCTCATGTACTTGATAATATTTTCTAATTTTCATGCCATATCGTTAAGGAGTACCATTTTGACTTAGTTATTGTGGATTTCATATCATCGAATGCAGCTGCTTTTAATCTTTATTTTCTATAGGTTGACTATCAATTTTTGAAGTAGCTCCTTTTCCCATGATGAATAAATGCACCAAAAACAAATTTTTGCAATTTAACTAGTTAGGCTCACTACTACATTTTACACTTTGCGCGACGAAAAACATTGGTCGCTTAAAGTGACTTTGCGCGACGAAATAACATTTTTCGCCAAAAGTTTTGCGCGACGAAAAAATAAAATAAAAAATAAAAAAAATATTTTGGTTTTTGACTTTTTGTTTTATTATTTTGGTTTTATATTAATTTAATTATATTAATTATTTCAAATTTTTACTTTTTAAATTTAATTTAGTTGTATGATATTTTTTGTTACTTTAATTTAAATTGATATTTATTTAATTATATTGATTTATTCAAATTTTTACTTTTTAAATTTAATTTAATT